GTCTTTACAAAAAATTTTTTTGTTGATGTTTTAGGGTTTTCCAAGAACACCATTATATTATCTGCCTAATGTGTTAATCTTGTTTTATTTGTCTATGCTTATTCTCTCAATTTCTTTTTCTTATCTTACTGCTATAGCTAGAATTTATAGTATTATATCAAACAGAAGTGTTAACAATGACTATTCATGTTTCATCCCTGATGTTACTGGAAATGACTCATTTATCCCCATTATATAAAATGCTGGCTTTTGGTTTTAAGTACATACTATTTACTATGTTAAATAAACTTATGTTTCTCTTGTTTTGAAGGCAACTAGGTGGTATAATGGATAGAGTTCTGGACCAGAAGTCAGGATAACCAGAGTTCTACTCAGGCTTCAGATACTCACTAGCTGTGTGACTTTAGGCAAATCACTTAAACTTTGTCTGAATCCATGTTCTCAGTTGTAAGATAAGAAAAATAATATTATCTACCTCCCAGGGTTGTTGTGAGGATAAAATGAGGTAATATTTATAAAGTACTCAGCAAAACTTAAAAGGCTATAGAAATGCTAGTTACTATTATCATAAATGGGTGTTGCATTTTATCCAAAGCCTTTTTCTGTATATAGTGACACAATCATACTATTTTTGCTGTTCTAGATAGTAATAACTTATTAATATGTTCAATTAGGTATTTTTCCTATTATCAAACCAGCCCTGCATTTCTGTATAAATCCAAACTGGTCACAGTCAAGATCTTTGTGATATATTGGTTTAGCCTCTTTGCTAATATTTTCTTTAAAACTGTAGCTTTTTTCCTCTATTTTGACTTTCCCTGGTTCAGGTATCCAATCATATCTGCATCATCAAAGGAATTTGGTGGGATCCCTTCTTTTCCTAACTTTGTAAACAGTTTATATAATATTTCTTCTCCATTTGATGTGAATTCTTTTTTAATTTCTGAAACTGGTAATTTGGTATTCCCCTTCTTTTTAGTCAAAGCTAACAGCTGATCTATTTTATTTTCCCCTGAAATAAAGCCTGCTCTTTATGGGGCTGAGTCCGAGGTCCCCTCTCCCAAAGTATAGCAACAGTTACTGGTCTTTGCACCTGGTGGTCAAGTCTTGAGTCTCAGTTCCCTCTTCCGGAATAAAGTGATCATTCAAGTAAAATGCTGAGTTTCACATCCCCCTACTGGGGTTCATGCTGACAGCAACCATACTGAGGTCATGCTGTTTCTCCAGTCTCTGAGCCAGGGGGAGAGAGGGCTGAGTCACATGGTCAAGGCCAAGTCTTGCAGAGGTCAGGACAGAAGGGCTCCAAGTGCTTCCTCCTATTTTGCCATGTTGGCCAATCCTTTCTGCTGAAATTGATCTATTCCTTTTGAAGCACCTCTTGCTACCATACCACCATGGACTGATTTCTTGGTCTATTCCACCTAACACCACACCCAACTAGAGCCCCAAGTCATTACAGGATCCAATTTTAAAATGAGTCTTTATAGAGAGAACTTTAACAAAGAGCAAACCCCTGAGGTGAAGACCTTCACTCGGGGTTCATGAATACTTCATCCTGTCCAACAGACAAGAACAGTGGGTACACTCAACTGGACCACAACAATGCGGGGAGGGAGGAAGGGAGAGTTATTTCAGTCCTTTTAGGAAGGCTTATTTTTTTCTCCAAAAGGCAAAAATATTTGTCTTTGATTTTTATTTTTAACTGAAGCAATCTGGCTTATATATAGCAGGGAAAGAATTTTAACCCTCCTCACCCCCAAAGGAAAAGATAGCTATGAATTATTGTTGGTAAAAGGACAACAGATTATTTATAGATATGTTTTGGCATATACTTTCCATGAATACACCAAAAAGGAATTGTGTGTTGCCTCAATATAACAATTTTTAAAACTCATATTTATATAGTTTTAAGATTTACAAACTATCTTCTTACAAACTTGTAAGTTTGGTAGTACAAGTATTATTATCTCCACATTTCAGATGTGTAAATTGGAGATTACATGTTTTGCCCACGGTCACGCAATTTGTAAATGTCAGAGCAAGACTCTTTCTAATATATCATGGTTTCATCTTTTCCCTAATCCATCATACATTGCCAGGTTATGTTGTAAAGAGATAGCAGAGTAGCCAACATAACATTCAATAGAGAAACACATCATAAGCATTTCAACTAAAAACCAGATCCAAAGCAAAGTATGCTCTTTCCTATTGGTTTCATTTGATATTATTAGAAATTCTAGCAATAAAACAAGACTGAAACGGGTTAATGCTGGAATTGAAAAAGTCAAAATATCATTATTTACACATGACATGGGACCATATCTAAAAAATCCAACCATCTCAATCAAAATGTTACCAGAGACAATGAATAAGTGGAAAATTATTGTAATGTGAAAAATAAAATTATTATTTTTAAAGCTCTTACTAAGTGGCATCATTAAAACGATCTGAGGCTGGGCAAAAAATAGAGAAGCAGATAAACAAAATAAAATAAACCAGACATCTAATCCAATGTATATAAAAGTTAACTGTTTAAGAAAACTTTAGAAACATTTTTTTATTAAACTGAGGAACGGATTAATTACTTAACAGAAACAAAAAAATGGAATGAAATCTTTCTCTCTACCATGGAAGAGATTTTTTTCAATTTAACAAATGGAAGGAATTATTGGAGACAAAAAAAATATGCCTGTCTACGTCAATTTTATACCAAAAAAAACATACTGAGAAAAATTTTGGCAATAATTTATTTCATTTAGTAATCTTTTTGTAATGTTTTAGGAGCTGGAAGTATAAGACCCTCTTCATCCTTCAGCTGCTTCTCTCTCGGCCAATTAATATTCTTGTCTACTTTCTCTTCCACATAAATTTCATTTGATCTTGTATTATTCTATATAGAAGCCCCTTAATATACTGATTTCATTAATATGGGGAACTTCCAGATGATACTAATACAGCTCAGCACCTTGTCTGCAATTTAGTCTTCAAGAGTTGCCTAGAAAACACTGAGAAATGAAGTGACTTTCTCTGGGTCCAACAGCTAGTATTGCGTTAGAAGGCAGACTTGAACCCAGGTCTTCTGACTTTGGGGCCAGCTGTCTATTTGCTATGTCAATCTGGTCTTAGATGGCAAATATGACAAAAACTAACCCCTAAAATATAAAAGGAAGTACTACTAAGTCACCAGTACTACTACTGGTAAGTCCTAACCTACAATGGATAAATGGGCTAGGAATACAAACAGCCAATTTTAAAAAGAGAAGCACAGATTATTATGTACTTGAAAAGATATTAAAGTTCACTAACAAAGAAATGCAAATTAAAACAATTTGAGGATAACCCCAAAACCATTAAATTAGTAAAAGTGATTAAAAGCAACAAAACTCAGTGCTGGTGCAACACGGTGTTATACACACTTGTTCATTCCTCATGGCACTGCACACTTGTAGAGTACTTTCAGGGAGCAATCTGCCACAATATAGAGTCAACAATAAAGTGATGATCATATCTTTATGATCCAATAATTCCATTGCCGGGAATATATCCTAGCAATGCTACCAAAGACCAAAAAAAAAAAAGGTCTATTTGTTCAAAGATTTTCATAGCAACATTTTATGTAATTAAAAAAAAGGGGGTGGGGTGGCAAGTGGTCTAACTGTGTGTAACTCCAGGAGAAGAGTTAAAGCAGTGGTGGGGAACCTGCGGCCTTAATGCCACATGTGGCCTTCTAAATCCTTAGGTGCGGCCTTTTGACTGAATCCATACTTTACAGAACAAATTTTGTTCTAATCTGTTCCGTAAAATTTGGATTCAGTCAAAAGGCCACATTTAAGGCTACATGTGGCCTTAAGGCTGCAGGTTCTCTACTCCTGGGTTAAAGTAAAAAAATCAGATCCAGCAAGATGGATATCACGATAACGACCACCAGATAAAGAAGAGGAAAGGAGGATAAATATACCAAGAACTACAATGGTACTTGGAAGGAGAGGCTGGAGAGGTGTAGTGGTCACTTATTTTGGATGAGGCCTGTGATTTCATGAGTCTAGGAAAACAAAAGGTCACCTGCCACTGGGAGGCTTAGAGAACTGTCCAGGGTCCTGAGCAGTGCAGGGACATGCCCCAGGATGTGGCAGATGCCACTACCCATGCTGCCTTTCATAATAACTGATCATTATAACGTGATGGCACTAATATAACGAGAAGATTTATTAACAGAAATTCATTTAAGTGTATGCTAAGTGGGTGTGGGTTGTATTGATGTTCAATATTCAGTTTTCAGAAGGCAGTTCTGGAGTCAGATCTGGATTTCTACCCGGATTCTGCCACTGTGCCCTGAATGACCTTGGGCAAGACATTCATAACCTCTGGGCCTCACTTTCTTAAGTTGTAAAAAAGTGCTATATTACATGACTTCTGAGGTCCTTTTCAACTCTAAATCTATGATCCTATGGAATAATTTAATTTAAAATTGGTAGCATAGCATACATAACATACATAAATGAATATACACAAAAGAATTTCAAGGCAGATATAAATATAATTTGGAACATAACAGAAGAATTAGTTAGAAAACAACCCAAAATTACAAAAATTCAACAAGGAATTTAAATGAAGAGCTAAGTAAACTCATATGTACATTTCCATGACACTACAGTCAACATAAACCCTAAGTTCCAGGGCATAAATAAATAAAATAACTTAATTTAAAATAGTCAATATTTAAGATATTAAATCAACTATTAATATTTAATATTTAGATATTTCTAGACAGGTAGAAAACTTTTTTCACTTAAAGTTTCCTTTATTTACTTTAATGAAATGTTTATAAGACTAAAAAAACAATTCTGGAGTTACATTTTTGCTAAGTTCCTTTTCTAAGGTTAAATGAGGTAAAAATTGAATTTCAATAATAATCATAATTACCCCTATCTTGGCATTTGATAAATTGCATTTTAACCCCATAAGAACTTATATATAGCTTAGAAAAGTGACTAACTTACCAAGGATTCAGAGTCTCTCTCAGCTCTCTTCTCTTCAAACAAACGGATTTTAACAGCACTCATCTTGTCGGTATCAGCAAGGACATAATGTCTTGGATTATAGTGTTTGGACAAGCTACCAAGCAGTCTCAGAATTTCTGTGGTGTGCCCGCCTGAAAATAATATTGAAGATCATATAGATTAAGAAATATACAATGTAAATCAACAATTAACAAGTAGCAGGCCTATTCGTCCACCTGATTTTACAGTAAATATTTAAATAGAGGACTACAGTTCCTCTCCAAGAAACAAGTAAGGAATGGAGAGATTAATCTCTGCCTTCATGGACCATCCAATCAGAGTAGCAGCATCTTCAAGACACCTGGTCCTATTTCTGGCCCAGAACCTGTAGCAACCATACAGAGAAGCAATTCCTGTGGAGAAAGGAGCCAGCCACCCCCAACTTCCATCTACTGAGTGAAGGGGAAGGAAGTTCTTCCCAGAATAATGTTTTAAATAACTAATGGAAATGCTAACTTTCAGGTACAGATGAGTGAAAATAAAAATGTCATTACCCCTCACTGCTTTCCCCCCACCTTCTGCCATACACACATTTATGGACACTCTGAAATCTACCCACTGAACCAAGGTTAAGAACCCCTGATGTAGAGGGACATTTAGAGGTACACTCTCTGTCTCTCTATCTTGCTCTGTGAGTGTGTATGTGTCTCTTTGTCTCTGTATCACTGTGTGTGTATGTGTGTGTGTGTGTGTGTGTGTATGTCTGTGTGTGAGACAGTAAGCCACAAAAATGTATTAATATCAAGAAAGGCTATTCGTCTTCTCTTTGGTTTAGTTAGAAGAGATCCTATGACTCCTTTTTATCCCTCCAAATGCTGCAGGTGGTACAGTGAATAGTGCACTGGGTCTGGAGTCAAGAAGAACTGAGTTCAAATTCTGCCTCAGATGCTCTAGCTATGTGGCCCATGGTACCTCACTTAAGTTCTGTTTGTCTCAATTACCTCAAATGAAAAATGGAAGTAGCACTTACTAACCAGGGTCATTGTGAAGATCAAATGAGATGATATTTGTAAAGTGCTTTGTACACTGCCCAGCAAACAGCAGGTGCTTAATAAACACTCATTTCCTTTCTTCCTATACAGAGTCTTGTTTTATGACTGATTAAAGCATTTAAATAAAAGTTTACATTTTCAGGATTTAGTAGCCACAAATTCTATTGCCATGTAGAAAGCTATCTTGAGAGTTAGGTTAATCCTCCAAAACTTTATCACCACAACACCTAAAAAAACCCTTAAACAGACATATAGCAAGATCCCGATCAATGTGAATAAATAATGAAATCTCATGAAGTGGTTGAATTATTCAAAATTTGTACTGCATGTTTCTACAGGGCTGGAACCAATGACCACATTTTACACAATTACAACTTCAAGTAGTGTGAATTCAAATACATATGACCACTTGAGGGGATTCATTATTTGCACTAATCAAGACCCAGATGTAACAATTCGATTTTCCTTTATTCCTCTAACCCCAGATTTTGCAGACCCAAGTCTCACAGAGCCAACTGTCTCTGTTCACCTAAGTTATTAGTCACCTTTCAGTTTTTCTGGATGACTATTTACCTACATAATGCTCTGTATCTACCTACATTGGACTTTCCATGTTAAGAGTAGACAAGGTCCATGTGTTTTGTTATTCTACTTTTCTTTTTAAAGTTTTGTCTTTTTTTTTTTTGATGGGCATAAAAAATTTCCCAATATCTCTCCCCAGCATCCATCACAGAGAAAAACAATTAAGTGACTAACAAAATGGCTATGCACAATAATGTATACAACATTCCACACTTGTCAAGTTAAAACAACAAGCATTACACTTCTAACCTGTATTGAGTTGCTTGCCTTCTCAATGAGGGTGGGTGGGGAGAGAGGAAGGGAGAAAATTTGGAACCCAGAGATTTAAAAACAAAAGTTAAAAGAAAATAAAAAACAAAAAAACCAAACTAACAACAAGCATTTTTTAAGCACCTACTATATACTAAGCACTGTGCTAAATGCTGGGGATTCAAAGACAAAAAGCAATCCCTGCTCTCAAGGACCTCACAGTCTAACAAGGGAAACAACACGCAAACAACTATGTACAAACAATCTATTAGTGAATAATTGGGGGTAGTATCAGAGGGAAGGCAGTAAGATTAAAGAGGGCTGGGAAAGGGTTCTCATAGAAGGTAAGACTTTAGTTGAGACCTGAAGGAAGCCAGGAGGCAGAGATGAGTCAGGACAGAATTCCAGGTAGAGGAGATAGTGAAAATGCCCAGGAGTTAGGGATTGAGTATTTTGTTCAAGGAACAGCAAAAGGCTACTGTCACTGCATCCAGTGTTACTGCAGGAGCAAGGTGTAAGAAGATAGGAAAGGCCCAGGTTGCGAAAAGCCAAACAGAAGATTTTATATTTGATCTTGGAAGCAACAGGAGTAGAAAGAATAGGACAGTGCACTCAACATAGCTGAACTTCAGAAAGATCAATCTGATATCTGATTGGAAGAGGGGAGTGACAAGAGGCAGAGAAACCAAACAGCAGCATGAGGTGATGAGGGCCCGAGCCAGGGTGGAGGAGTGTTGGATGATACACACAATATTCCACATCTGTAGTCCCCACACCTTTCTACCAAGAGGGGAAAAAAAATGTGTTCCAACACCTGTCTGCCGGAAGCAAGGCTGCTCACTGCATTTAATTGCAATGCTGGTGCCTAGAGGTGTTGCTGCTCTTTATCTTATTATAGTCATTGTGCAACCATTTCTATTTCCGCTTATTTCATTTCGCATCAGTTCATACAAATCTTCCCAAGTTTCTATGAATTCCTCATATCTGTAATTTCTTACAGCACAGCACAGCACAGCACTCCACGACATTCACATAGCACAAACTATTTAGCTGTTTCCCAATTGATAGGAACCCTTTTGTTCCCCATTTTTTAATACTACAAAAAGTAGTGGGACTTTTCTTTCTTTAATTTTCTTTAGGTATAAGCATAGTAGTGGAACCTCTGGGTCAGAGGATACGGACAGCTTACTCACTTTTCCAGTATAAATCCAAATTATTTTCCAGAATACACAGACCAATTGATTCACAGCTCTACCAAGAGTGTATTAGTTAATGTGTCTGTTTTCCCACAGCCTTTCCAATTCCTTTCATCTTAACAAGATATTATGAGCTTAATAAATGCCTCTTAGATTGGATTTATTGTAAATATTTACAATTTAGCTTTATTTCAACCTAAATATAAGAATACTATCGTGAACATCAATGGAGAGGATGTGAAAGTGATTTGCAAATCTTAAAGTGCTATATAAGTATATGTAAATATGAATGTATATACATGTATAAATATAAATGTATGTATATACACACAAATATATGTGTATGTGCATATAAATAGACATATGAATATATACAGTATGAGCAAATATTTAAATATAAATAATATAAATGTGTAGGTATACAAATATAAATATGAATGCATAGGTATATTTTGTTATGTCATTTTTCAGGCAGGGCCAACCCCATTAAGGGTTTTCTTGGCAGAGATACTGGAGTAGTTTGCCATTTCCTTCTCCAGCTCATTTTACAGATGAGGAACTGAGGCAAACAGGGTTAAGTGACTCATCCAGGGTCATAACTAGGAAGTTCCTGAGGCCAGATTTGAATTCACAAATATAGAGGGGTGTGTGTGTGTGTGTGTGTGTGTGTGTGTGTGTGTGTGTGTGTAAATGCACAGGCATATAAATAAAAAACATATAGAGATACAAATAAATACAAATGTATAGGGATATAAATCTAAATAAAAATGCATAAAGATATAAATAAATATTAATGCATAGGCATAGGAATATATAAATACAAATGTATAGGCATATATCACATATATCAATAAAATGTATAGGCCATATAAATGAACATATTGATATAAACATAAACGTGTGGTATATAAATGTATAGGTTTACAAACATACAAAATGTAAATACAAACATATATGAACAAAAATATATAAATACATATACAAAATATATACAAATAAATATGTACATGCAAAACTATAAATAAATGACTTAAAAATGTCTCTCCAGGTAAGCTCCTTCAGAACTGGGATTGTTATCTTTGGGCCTCCAGTACCTAGTACAGATGGCACATACTGGGCACTTAATAAACGGTTGTAGATTCATCCTATATTTGCATTTGTATGTATGTGTATGCACACACTAATGCCTAGTGGGGGACCCTGAATGTCAGTAACTTGTGGGATTATGAGACTTTCTATCCAACTCCCAGATCAGAACTTTGCCTCACTACTTCATGCTAGAATTGTGTATGTGTGTCTATATACACAGGTATTTATTTCCACATTTATGTACATATACATACATATTTGTATACATTTATATAGCTATACATTTCTAAAGAGAGCCACTGAGGCTGCCCATCTCCTAAGACAGGGAGTCTGGTTCAGTGGCAAGTTTCTCTATTTGTAGTCATAAGACCTAGGTCTGAACCCTGGCTCTGCTACTTACTAGAGCACGTCATAACCTCTCAAGGCCTCAGTTTCCTCATATGTAAAAAAAAAGGCCAGGTCCCTCCCAGCTCGAAATTTGCGGTCCTAAGCCAAGTCACAGGCAAGGAGGTGACCAGAATGGGGGGAGGAAAACTCACATGGAGGAAATCACAGAGGAGTCCACGAGAGGCTTCTAAGTTCTAGTTCCCTGTTTGTCTGAGGGTTTTCTTGAATTCAATTAAGAGGCATCCAGAAAGTTTCAACATAGAGCTAGGGGGGTACAGTGGACCGAGGGCAGGACTTTAGACCTGGGAAAACTAGAGTTCAAATCCTAACTGTGCCACCCTGGTCCATTCACTTAATTTCTCTGCGTCTCAACTTCCTCATCTGTAAAACGAGAGCGAGGGCATCACTTTTCTATTTGATGCTTTAAAATCGATTATCTTATTCATTCGGATCATTAACATCACTGAGCCCCAAATCTGCAGTTAAATAAATGTAGATTCAGTACATTTTCAGTACATCCAGGCCAGTAATTCACAAAAACCACATAGACCAACACGCAATGCTTCAAGCAAAGCAGAAAACGAAAGTAAGGGGGGGGTGGGGGGGGGCGAAAGATGAGAAACCGCGTTGTCTTTTGGGTCTTGTAGTCCTGAGGGAAACCACGGCGGGGAGATGTCATGTGACCGGTGAAACTACGACCTCAATCTACTCACCGGACCCCCGCCACCACCAGCACGCTGACGGACACAGTCTGTAGCCCCTGTTTTCGGGAGCATAGCACCAGCCACAGCCGCAGCAGTACGAGAGCAGCAACCACACCCCCCACAGCGATCAGGCAGAGGAAGAAATTCATACTAGCCGAGAGGGTCCATGATCGCCGCTACCAGGAAGGGAAGTCCGCCGTAGAAGTTCGAAAACTACGGGAGCCGAGGAAGCTCTAAATGTCTCTCAGCCCTGTCGCTTTCCGTCGCGTTCTCGGCTGCCTGGACGCCGATTTGCTCGAGAGGTGGCGCTCGGGTCTAAGGAGGGCGGAGAATGATGGGAGGTCGTAGTCGTCGTTTCATTTACCGCGCAGCTGTTGGCCGGGGGGCGGGACTTCCGACTGCAGGAAACGCTAAAGTGCGAGCCGGGCTACCTGTGCAGTCTCCGCCTCCAGGAATGGGCTCCTCGGTTTAGAGCCCCTACCTCCTGCCCCAGGCGGGCGGTGCGCCCCGCCCCTCTACCCTTAATGCCGCGTCCATGTTGTGTCCGCTAGGGCCTGGGATGTCCTTCTGTTCCTTTCGTAGTAATTGGTCCCAGCCCTCCAGGACTAAATCCAAGCTGCTGCTTTTAACACGCGGGGTTCAGTGGCTGGCCCAGGTAATTAGCTCCAGGGCGGGGATGATCCTGTCCTCCTGAGCTCCATATGCTGGGCTCTCATCTCTTGGTGCAGTCGTGGATATCCCACCTACCTTTCTTCAAAACTGACCTGCCCGTGCATGTGATCAAAGAAGGTGGATATCTCCAATTGATCAATGCTCTAAGGATACGAACAGGCAGTTTTCAGAAGAAGAAATCGAAGCTGTCAATAGTCACATGAAAAAATGCTCTAGATCTCTAGAGAAATGCAAATTAAAACAACTTGGAGGTGTCACCTATCAGAGTGGCTAACATGACAGAAAAGGAAGATGACATGCTGGGGGAGATGTGAGAAAATTGGGACACTAACGCATTGTTAGTAGAGTTGTGAACTCACCCAGCCATTCTGGAAAAGCAGTTTGGAACTAAGGGCTGTAAGCTGAGCATACCCTTTGACCCAGAAATACCACTACTAGGTCTTTATCCCAAGGAGATCAAAGGAAAAGGACTCATATATACAAAAATATTTACAGCAGCTTTTTTTATGGTGGCTTAAGAATTGGAAGTTGAGGGCATGCTTACCAATTGGGGAATGGCTAATATAATTGTTACACAGTAAGGAATGACCAAAAGGATGGCTTGAGAAAAGAGTGAGAAGACTCAATATGAGCTGATGCGAAGTGAAGTGAGTAGAACCAGAAGAATGTTTATATGCAGTAACAATATTGTAATGATGATCAACTTTGAAAGGTTTGGCTACTCTGATCAATGCAATGACCCAAGGCAATTCCAAAGGACCCTTGTTGAAAAATGCTGTCCCTCTCTAGAGAAAAAACTGATGGATACTGAGTAGAGATTGAAGCATATTTTTCATTTATTTTTCTTGCTTTCTCCGACACAAAGTGGTTAATGTGGAAATGTTTTGCCTGACTTTGTATGTATACTGTGTATGTATTTCTTGCTTTCTCAATGGGTGGAAGAGAGAGAGGGAGAGAATTTGGAACTAAAAATAAAAAAAACTAAAATAATTTTTTAAAAGGTGTTTACATGTTAAAAATGTACAACCAGAGCAGCTGAAAGAAAATGCTAATTAAAACAGCTCTGAGATACCCTTTGAACATCTATTAAAATGGCAAAAACAAAATTAAAAAATCCTCTATTGTGGGGAGGATTTGCTGTGTGGAAACAGATACATTGCTGCAAATTGATTAAATTCAAATCAACAAAACCTTTCAGCCATCTCAACTGAAAACAATTAATGGATTTAATAAATAAGTTCAGCAGAGTCTAGGTTATCAGATTAATCTGCAAAAAGACTACATTCTTATTTGCTAATATAAAGATTAAAAAAGTTTTTTTAAAAAAGCAAACCCTATTTACAGTATCAAGGAAACCCAAATTAACTATCAAAATAAGAGAAGACTTAAATAACTGGTGGGTCAGTGTTCATGGTTTGGTAGGATTAATAGAATAAAAATTATATTCCCCAAATGAATTTATATATATATGTATATATATATATATATATATATATTCTGCACTAACAATCAAAATAGTATGAAACTAGCTTCCTCATAGAGCTAGATAATTATATGAAATTTATGTGGACAAACAAAAGGGCAAGAATATTAAGTTGATTCTTTCATTTTTGTCTTTAAATCCCCATAGTGTAGCACAGTGTTAGGCACTTCTTAATTGTTGAATTTCATAGGATCATAGATTTAGAACTCGAAGGGACCTTAGAGATTATCCAGCCCAACCCTTTAATTTTATAGATTAGGAAACTGAGACCCAGAGTGGGTAAGTGACTTCTCCAAAGTTACATAGTCAATGGTTGAGTTGGGATTTAAACCCAGGTCCTCTGATTCCTATACTTCCAGACAGTTGTATCAATTCGGGGATCTCACCAACACAGACTGAGGAAATTTTATGAAACCTGTGTGACAGACTGCCCCTTTCTAGCCTTTGAAATTATTTTGTCCCTAGTCTCACTTTGTATCTTGAGAATTGTTTATACAACCTAAGTGTTTCAGTAGGGGACAACCTTAAAAATGAAATTCTGAAGACAAAAAGAATTCTGAAAAAAACGCAATTTGAATGAGAAGAAAAAGGAAGAGTCAGCAGTCAAAGGAAGGCACTGGCTTATAACTAAACTAACGTGGAAGCACAGGGAACTTTCCAATCAACTCAAGTTTGAGAAACACTTGTAAGACAAGCAAGCAACAAGAACAATTAAAAACACTCATCCAGTGTTTGGCAAACTTCAGAATATAAATTACTGAGGGGTGAGTAAGAAAAATTGCTGGGAAAACTAGAAAGCACTTTGGCAGAAATTAGGTTTGGTTTAAAATCTTACACCATATACTATAATAAGCTCAAAGTAGATAGTCAACCTGAATACAAAATGTTATACTGCTTAAAAAGTAGAAAAGATCAGTGACCTTTCACTACTCTGGCTAGAGGCAGAATTTTTAATGAAATGGATGGAGGAAATCATAAAAGATAAAATAAGCAATTTAGACCACATAAAATCTAAAAGCTTGTGTAAATTAAATCACTAAGATATAATTAGAAGAGAAATAATGAGTAGGAAAAAAATCCCATCGAATGTCCATAAAAGTTTAATATCCAAAATAAAGAGGTAATTGTCACAAATATATGACACCAATAGTCATAAAACTATTCCCCAGTGAATCACTGGTCATAGGATATGAACAGTTTTCAAAAGAATTGCTATAAACTATAAATGACCACATGAAAACATACTCCATGTCCCAAGTGTGAAAGGAATGCAAATTAAAACAATGATGAGATTTTACCTTAGACCATGCAAACTGAGCATGATAACAAAAGATGAGGAGTTAGTGTTGAAGAAGCTGTGGGAAAGCAGGCAGAAGATGAAATGAAAGAGGTATTGTACTCCCAGACTTTACAAAGTAGTTACCACCGAAATTATATAGCACTGGTTGAATGGTCAAGTTCAAAGAGTAGTTACTGATGGATTAATACCACTTTGGCAGGATATCTCCAGAGGAGTGTTTCAGGGCTCTGAACTTGGCCCTATACCATTTAACTTTTTAGTCCAAAGTAGAACGCTTATCAAATTTTAAAACGACACAAAGTTGAGAAGAATATTGTATGACAAAGTCAGGATCCCAAAAGATCTCAGTGCCTGGCACATAGTAAATACTTAACAAATGCTGGTTGATTGACTGATCAATCTCAATAGGCTATATCATTGGGCAGAACTTGATGAAATGAAATTTAATACAAATCAATGTAAAATTGTATATCTAGGTTCAAAAAATCAATTTCACAAGTTCAAGATGAGGAAGGCACAGTGAGATGGCAGTTCATCTGAAAAAGATCTGTATGTTCTAGTGGACTCCAAGCATAATATGAATGAACAGTGTGTTCTGGCAGCCAAGAAAGCAAATGCAATCTTAGGCTGTACTGAGAGACATAACAATGGAACAAAGAAGTGATGGCCCTACTGGATTCTGCCTTCATGGGACCAGATCTGGGCACTGTATTTTTCGGAAAGATATTAATAATCTGGAGATCATCTGAAAGAGGGGAGCCAGAACAATTAAGGGCCTTGAGTTCATGCCACATGAGAATCAGTTGAAGGAACAGAAGATGTTTAGCCTCAAAAAGAGAAGACTGAGTAGGGAAAAGGAGGACATGATAGCTGTCATCAAGAATTTGAAGGGCTACATAACCTTGAAGAGGCATGAGACCTGTTCTCTTCAGCACCAAAGAGTAGAACTGGAGGCAGTAGGGGGAATTTGGGAGGAGGCAAGTTTAGACTGCTCTCAGGAGAAATTTCCCAACAATTAGAAGTATCCAAAATTGGAGTGGGCTGCCTTTGGGAGCTGGGGTTTTCCCTCACTGGAGGTCTTCAAGAAAAGGCTAGATGACTACTTGTAGAAAGGATTCTTTTTCAGATATAAGTCAGACAAGATGACTACTAAAATTCTTTTCAATTTTGACATTCTGAAATTCTGTGAAACAATGCTTACCAAGAACTTCCCTTTTTTCACTCACCCTTTCTAATTTTCAGATCTTCTTAGTCTTGATATCCTTCTCAATCCATCTTTATATTCCACCTATTCCAAAGGCTAGATATTTCCCTTCGTTCTCTGTCAATCTCCAGTGGAGTAGAGCTTCTCAGCCATGATTTACTTCCTTGGTAGCCTTTTAACATTTTTTTTAAAATTTTTCATTTGTGGAATAAAACAGGCATTGTCACAACATGGTACAAAGAAAAAAAAGATGATTGCACATGAAACTGCAAATCTATTATGCACTTGCTATTTATTCCTTTCAAACATAGAACAAAATTATCATAGAAATTTCTTTTTTTTTCTTTCTCTGCCCCCCATCCCAAGGTAGCTACCATTAGACACAAATAAGTAAATATATATAAAATTATTCTAGACGTACTTCTATTTATCAGTTCTTTCTTTAGATGCAGCTAGTGTCTTTCTTCA